CCTTTCGGACGTTTTTATACTTTTCGGATTTTTTGTGGTTTGGGACTTTTCGGAAATGTAGGCTGTGAGTTTTATACGTTTTGGCTTTATTTTTCGGACAAGATTTAACTTCAATTTTACCTTAAATTGATAATGACTAATAATTAAAATTGTCTTGATTTTCTAAGTATTTGTGTTTTCTTTTGTTATGCAGCGCATGACTTAAGTTTGGGAGGTGAGGTGAAATTGTGTTTAACGTCGTGCTGGAGAATATTTCTCTCATATGACGACGTGCACGCGTGTGTATGTGTATGTGCGGCTGCTTGTACTAGCCCAGACTGAAGCTGGTTATATAGTGCTAGCCCACTGAGATACCCCACTCAGACACATTATACTAGAGTGTCCTGGGAAGTCCTGAGTCGTCGACCTTTACCATTTCTGATGCCCATGAGCACCAGCACAGGTATGGCCCATCTACCTGGAACACCAACTGTGATACTACGTCTACATAAAGTAGGCCGACACTCAATTCAATATATATCTTCTTTCAGTCAAGATATCTTTAAAAAATTAAGATATCAGTAATTTGTGAATAAATGTAAAACCGGCTTGCCATAAATCCACGTAACCTCTAGTAATAGTGATTCCTGAACACATGCTTATATTAGGGTCAAGATCGTATAATGGACGATCTCTTTGTGATTTCTCATGATGATGTTTCCTTCTGTTTACGGGTAGAATATACGTGTCTCTCCTCTCGCTACAGATGCATCAGAGCAGCCATGGTCGAAGAGAACCTCTCCAGCTGACGTGTAACGCGCCTGTTATTTAGATGTAACAGTGGAAATATTGTAATAAACTTATACTGTGAAAGCTGACCTAGTGTGTGTTTCTTTATAGCTCAGTTCAAAACACTTGGGTGTTCATATGAGTGAGTGAGTTTTACGCCGCTGTCAGCAATATTCCAGCTGTATGGAGGCGGTCTGTAAATAATCGAGTCGGGACCAGAAAATCCAGTGATTATCAGCATGAGCATCGATCTACGTAGTTGGGGTACGACGACATATGTCAAGCAAGTCAGCGAGCCTGACCACCCGATCCCGTTAGTCGCCTCACACGACAAGCATGGGTTGCAGAAGATCAATTCTAACCCGGATCTTCACGGGTACACGAGTGAGTGAATTGGATCTAATCCGCTTTCAACCGCTGTGAGAGTGATGCAGTTATTGACACTTACGACACTGACAACCTAATCACTCAGGCGACTCTGAGAGTCCGGCACGTCGAAGGTTCACTAAGGCATCTGGGCGCGTTGTATCCTTGGTGATTTGATATTTACCAGTGGAAAGAAGGTGCCTGCAATCTTTTCCACCCCTTCGTCGCGCTCCATACATTACCTTCGAGTGGCCTGTTCACCAAATGGCAGATACGTGAGATAGATGAAACTTGTGATGGCTGCCGACAGATAGCTCAAGTCGATTGATAACCGTGTGGTTAATGTTCAAGTCAGCACCGATGTGGCCACATCACTGTGTCATGCATGTCAGGCGCATAGCAAGCCAATTGTTTTCGTGTAAGCCCGATAGGTTGTAAAGCTTTATATTTAGATAGTATTGAGGCTTGCCCAACCTTTTTAGCAACGATCACGTGTAAGCCCGGGCTTTTTTCTATAATGGTGGCTACGCCCCTGCATGTGAAGAACTTGCCATCGTGTATTTTCTGAAAGTCTATGTCTTGCCATGTCAAGAAAAGTTAACTTTTAGTACTGTCATTGTTTGAAGCAGTGCATAAAACTGTTGTGTAGTTTACGCTATTTCTCAATAAAACTGTACATTGATATTACAGTAAGGAGAAAAAATGAATTTCGCAGACATGTTAAAATACTCGTTCCCTGAAAGCTACAACATGCAGAGAACAACTTCTAAAAATTGTTTCAAGTTAACTTAAACAGTGAAAACTTAAAGGGACAATTATTCAACTTAGTCTGATCTGATTTTTCAGGCCTTGTAACATACGTTGTTTCCATGTTCTATAGGTGTCAATGTGAGTATCTGTTTTGATATCAACTTGGAAATAGAAAATACGTTATGTTATGTGTAGGTATCTTCAGTAAAGTTAGTAAACGATATACGTTGGTTAGTGTGTTATCTTAAACATTGTTACTAACTGCATACAAAAAGGCCTTCATCTTAAGAAATCTAAATGAACGATATTTTCGTGGATTGCATTGAAACCATTTCTTGTTAACTAAGCTCGGTAAAGAGAAAGGACTTGCAATACCATAATAGTTAGCTTATTTACCATGGTGAAAACTGGACAACATTTTACAAAGATCATTCTTTTCACGTCAGAGTGGTAGCTATAATTATGAGGGCTGTGATGTAACGTATGTTAACATATTTTTCATATTTCAAAAGAACACTGAAAAATTACTTAAAAATATGAGGATGGCCCCATGGATTAATTAATTCACCGTTTGTTTTCAAGAATTTTAGTCGATTTAGTAAACAGACAATGTATGCAGAGCACATGTTTTATCATTTTAATGATCAACCTACCAATGTTTTGCTATACTTAAACACACAAACAGGAAATATGCAGGGGAACCAGTGCTTAGGGTAGATTTTACATCACTAAGGTTATGAGTTAATTATTCTTGAACCGTTATGATAAATGTTTTCTGCAAACATAATCTAGACACCATGTGGGCCTTGCACTTTCCTGTAACATATGTTACCAGCTTTTAACAATAAACGATCACCTTTCAACACTAATCGTTTCGTATTTAAATGCAGACGCCTCTGTTTGAGACAATAGGAACACCATCTTTGTTCCTAGCTTTCATAATTTTTCAATATAAAACTTATTCATTCAGTTCTCCATGTAACGTGCGTTACTAAGTAATAACCATTAACAATTAACCAATAACTTTCCATACTAATGTTTTAGAAGGTAACCTCTAGTTTGGATACTCGGAACAACTTCCCAGGTGATCAATGTTTCAAAAATGAACGCGTGGAATCTCAAAACAGAGCTGATATTAATGACTGTTTTAGTTTCGTAAATTGTGTAACGTATGTTTCTGTAACGGGTGTTTTTTTCAATGTATATCAATCACTGTTGCAAGGAAAGGTGTAATGGTTAATGAACTTTTGTATGTTCAGTATGAGCATCTTGGTAGCCTAATGTTTGCAACAAATGGCAATGGTTAATAAGATATTCGTTTTATAAGTATGGGGCAGTAACGAATGTTTCATTCTTAACCATAACGTTTACAAAATTAAACATGGAACACATTTGACCAACGTTGACGTCTATTTCTATTAGGAGTATTTTGTTTATGAAACAAATTACAAACATGATTACAAAATTAGCATTATTTTCATATGGTTTTATCCCTTGATTACACACTTATGCTACACGCAACATACTGGGTAGGTATGTTTTACTGACATTTACAATTTTGGCGACAACCCAACTATTGATTACAGAAGATTTCAGCAATGTTTCACTGGGTTGTGCAATGAAATACACAGACGAGCTTAGGAGTCAGGTATTTTTTTCGAACTTCTTATAGATTTCCTTTTGACAAGCTATTGATATTAATTCTAAAACCATCAAAGGCTTTACGAGCGACAGTAACGTGTGTTTCAGTTTGATATATGTTTAATATCTGTTTTAGAAAAGTGAAATGTTTTTATATGTTTTTCTTCTATACCTTGTTTCTGCCAGTCAGATCAAGGACAGCAATGGCACGAACATTGGTAACAATGCTGTGTTGCCTGTGGCAGACAATTTCGACCAATATGTACAGTTTATAATATAGTATTTAGTGTGAAGCATTTGCTTGACATTCTAGAATTTTAGGCCATGATCGCCTGTTCGGACCAAAATCATAAAAATTGCCCTTGGATTCAGGTGATACTTAAACAATGCTCGTCTGTATATTTGTATAAATCCCCTTCAGGCGAAACAAAAACATTAATAGAAGTCACGTTTTCTTGAAACAAGAACTTTTCTCGTTTCACCTTAAGCCCAGTTCACCGTATGAATTAAAGTGTAGAACAATTGAGAGAAATACAGAAACGGTTGAAAGTTTGGCAAGAGACATCAATTTCATCCAGTGACTTTATGACTAATGTTTCGGAAATGTCTGTTGAAAGTGATGTCCAGCCTACTGATATAATTGAATATCAAGATTATTATACAATGTATATGATCGAAGAAAGACAAGATATGAACTGCATAAACCATGATCTATTATACACTCTGAGCATACAACAAAAACAAGTGTATATATACTACAATATTTATATAATGAAAATATGCATTAAGGGTATATAGAAATAATTGGCATATATATAATATATGCAATACATATAAAGTAAAAATTACCTGTATATAAAGTATGTATCACTGGTATATGGAACGTATACAATAATTTTGGATGGAAGTATTTACACTATATCCCTAATGTTCACACATGATTTCCATCCTCCCACTGTACATATCAACACAGCATGTTCAATACAAAGGCCCTGTAAATAGCTTCAACGATTACACAAATGTACGAACTGTATTCACTTTAGTTCATCTTCTGGTTCCCTGTTCCGCTTGGCCTGGTTCTTTTTTTTCCTTTTCCTTTTTATTTTCAGTAAACGATCTTTATATATTTGCATCATCCACAGCCATCATCAACTCGCTCCCCCATGTCTACTTGAGTCTACTTCGTGTCTGGTTTCTTCCTCTTCGCCGCCCGCTCTTCCTCCACCTTCTTCAGCTTCTCCTCCCTCATCTGGAGCTGATGTTCCGCCCTCATTTTCTTCAGGAACTGGCGACGTTTCTTTTCGTCCTTGACAGCTTTGTGCTTGATTTCTCTGTCCAGTTGTTTTCTCTGGACTTGATCCACCAACCTGTAAACATTTCACACGGAATTAGATCAATATGAAATCGATACAAAGGCACTTTTAGTAATCAAGACAGTTTAAGTTTTTCGACACTATTCGTCCTAAATATTTTACCTGTTCAGTCGAAAGAGATCAGCCTTCTGTCTCCTCCTCTCAGCTGTGTAGAAGCATCGCACTGGGATTTGCTCCAGACGTCGGGGAGCTTTGCCACGGGGAACAACCCCCTCCACGGCGGGGACAGAGAAGGCCACTCCTCCGCTGGACTGACGGGCGGGGACCAAGCCCTCATCTTGTAGTTGTTGAAGAATTTCCGCCCCTGACAGACGGGGTGTGGGCCGTGTCACCTGACACTTGGCGTAGTACAGCTTGTGAGGACAGTTGATATTTCCCGTCAGAGCCTCCTCGAGGAGATGTCTGCTTGAAAGGTATAATCTTGGTCTGTTTGCAACCCATTTTTGAAAGATTTGTGGCGTCTACAGTGAAAACACGTCCAGTCTCCACGAATGTTGGCGAGACAATTACGTGACGTCATAATGTTGTGACGTCACTGACTGGTCCATTCACGAGCGACTATTTCCGTTTCAAATTAGGTTATGGAAATTAAAGGACGAGGTTGCCAGAAAGCCCTTTCCATTGCAGTTAATCTTGTAGTGACTGTCTCCTCAGGAATTGTTCTTAGTATACTTTTATATTAAAAAAATAGTCATGGCCTGATTCATCCCTGACTAAAAAAGACGTCTTACAAGTTTGATCTTGTGCCAGTCGTTCTTTGAGCAATACTGGAACATGCAAAGCTGAAATATTCGAGAGGTCCCCTCGTAAAACAAAACCATTCCCGATTAAACTCCCTGGGCTCCGGTCCACAAAGCGTTCGTAACGTTACGACCCATCGTAACTCTGTATTTTATCACAGGCTTACGAATGGCATAGTGCTGATTACCGCTGTCACATCACTTGGCTGAATGGGCGTTAAACCACAAAACACAACATTGTAAACTATACTCTATGCGATACACATTTTGAATTCTTTGAGATACAGAAACATCCCCGAATATCTAAGGGTCGGCCTTTACACAGTTTCCAACCCCAAGAGAGAAAAAAGGCTTGAGATGCCGGAATTCATATGAACCCAGTTTGGCGTGAGATGTATGTTTTGTCGTGAGTAATAAAAACGGGAGTCTCAAGCCAAATGCGTATGAGCTGGGAGGGATGACATAGTATTGATGTGGCGGCAACCACAATTCACTCACTCACTCACTAAATATAACGATGATAATAATGAATGAATGAATGAATATCGGGAATCTGTGAACATCTAAATGTTAAATATGGAAACAAGCAGATTTTCTAATTCCATGTGTATATTCCTTTGCTTACTCTACCCGTGAAGGTCCGGGTTAGAATATTGATCTTCAGTAACCCATGCTTGTCGTAAGAGGCGACTAACGGGATCGGGTGGTCAGGCTCTCTGACTTGGTTGACACGTCATCGGTTCCCAATTGCGTAGATCGATGCTCATGCTGTTGATCACTGGATTGTCTGGTCCAGACTCGATTATTTACAGACCGCCGCCATATAGCTGGAATATTGCTGAGTGCGGCGTAAAACTAAACTCACTCACTCATTCTTGCACGATATAAAAACATCGACAAGAAGTGTCTGCACTCGTGTTCAGCACCATTCCAAATAATTCTAGATCTTATCTGTTTTTTTTGTAAATAATTTGACAAAAATCAGTTCATTTGTTGAATGACATATGAAACATATAAGCGTCCGCTTCCATTCGTCGAGTCATGAAAAACTCTTGCAGGATAAATGAGCTCTGATTGCTTTGTCTCGTTACCATGGTGCCGGCGAACACCTGTGTGAAATATACAACACATCAAGGCTGATTTGACACTTGTTTATATTAGCGACGGGTGTAGGCCTTGGGTCATCACGGAGAAGTTCCTGGTAGTTCCTTAAATTGGTACAAAGTGTCAAATTCATCCTTGTCGTTCCCTCCGCTCGAACTACTCAAACATTGTCTAAACCTCTTGGCTTACAATTGTCGGAATGACACTGTAAGTGCGTCATAATGGTGATCAGACCAAGTTACTTTGATCTAACAGAACTGAACAATATTCACATTCACAAAAGTTACATAAATACCAAAAAATGTAAATGCGTATTAATTGTTTTCATAATTTGTATCTGAATCTTGTATGGACTGAAGCAACAAATTACTGCATTAAACAACAAACAAATTTTAAACAAATGTTTTCAAGATGTCCGCTAGAGAATTTAACAAAGGTGAGAGAAATTGGTGAAACATAGAAATGAGTTGTGCATAGCAAGAGTCATCAGGAGATAACCTACCCCCTCCTGATGTGGTACAGTTCACATATTGGCTAATTATAGAGTTTGACTGGATACATTCAGTTCAGTGAAGAAAAAGATATGCTGTTTCGTATTTTACAATGTCCCGTATTTTTCAATGTCCAAAATCATCAAAAGGCAGCAGTTCACCACATAATTTTATAGCAAGTTTCATACGGAAATATTTAAACAGTTTAATCAATAGACTACTCTGTATAGAATCTTCAACCAGAATTATATAATGGTTTTGGAGGTTTGCTTTATAAACGAGTGCTACCATCATTTTGGGAATATATACACAGCAAAAAAAGTTAAGCACCCCTCAAATGAAAGCTGAATTATCGGTATATGTCGGAACAAAATGTCAGTCCTCATGATGGCAAATCAAAGAGTGGTATATTGGTGATAAACTAAGGTGTTACTTATTAGAAAATGTCTCTCACGAACGCAGCCACATGCACGTGAATCCCCGCCACCCATGTGTTGCACACACCAAAGTTTCAAACAACCACAAGCATTGGGTATTTAAGGATCGGTATCGACTTCATTATCACTGTTTTTGCACTTCTGATTGACAATGGCACGAAGGAGAATTTCCGAGGCATTGAGATGGCAGATCATTGGACTTCATCGGGCAGGACTTTCTTACAAGGAAATTGCAAGACGAACTCAATTCCACTACACCGTAATAAGCCGTCTGGTGAGGAAGCATGCGCAAACAAATGATGTAAAGGACCGTCCCCGTTCTGGAAGACCAAAAGCTACCACGCCCCAGGAGGATAAAGCTCTGTTACGGCATGTGAGACGCCAGCCTTTTGGTTCAAGTACCCTTCTGAAACAGGCCTGGTTACCTCATCGCCGCTTGAGCAACCAGACTGTGAGAAACCGCCTCAAAGCTGCTGGATTAAGAGCCAGAAGGGTCATCAGGCGTCCACAGCTCACAAATCACCACAAGCGTCAGCGTAGGTTATGGTGTCAGAGGTGGAACCTACGATCATGGAGGAGAATACACTGGACCGACGAAAGTCGTTTCCTCCTGCATGTTGTAGATGGGAGAGCCCGCGTATGGAGGACTAGGAATACACGTCTTGCCCCCAAAAATATTTTGCCAAGAGTACCATTTGGCGGGGGATCCGTAATGGTTTGGGGTGGCTTCTCCTACGACTGTAGACTGGAGTTGGTGACTATACAAGGTTCACTCACAGGCGCTCGCTACATTCAGGAGGTTCTGGATCCTGTAATTATTGATCATTTCGATGACCACAGACTTGCCACAAGACCCTTGTTCATGGACGACAATGCACGACCTCATCGTTCACATGCTGTAAACCAACATCTGGCAAATAATGCTGTGACACGAATTCCCTGGCCATCAATGTCTCCTGATTTGAATCCAATCGAACATGTTTGGGACATCATGGGGCGTCGGGTACAAAGAAGGAATCCTCCTCCACAAAACCTGGGGGAACTGGAGGCAGTTCTTCACGAGGAGTGGCAGCGGATACCGATGGAACAATTAAGGAACCTGGTTAGGGGTATGCCAAGAAGAGTGGCTGCAGTTCTTCAGGCACGTGGTGGCAGCACACGTTACTGATGTTTTGTGATTCCTGGGACACTGATCCACTTTATTTAAGCTGCTTTTACCGGGTGGCACACCCCAAGACCTTGAACTGACGATACTTCAACACACGTCTTTTGGCTGCAATTCCATTTCAATTTCACTGTGTGTTTTCATGCACTTTTAGTGCTCATACCGTTACAAAACTTCTGTTCCAAATGACCAAATGATTGTTCTTTTAACTAAAATTCGTTTTGTTTCTCTTCTTTCTATCAGTTTCATACCATGCTTCCATGAAGTTCACCCCTCTGTGAAAAATCAGGGGGGTGCTTAACTTTTTTTGCTGTGTATAGTTCAAGTTGTCATCATGATAACAACTAGGCCTGGGACGCCTAACCCGCATAACCCCGGATACCGGGGACGGGTGGGTAATGAATTGGATCCAGTAATGTCTCAATAACCGGGCTATTATGATCATGTAACTCATAGATTAAACAATGCAATATGTTATTCATTTATGATCAAAAGCTTGTATTGTCTTTGAAGATTTAGACATAATTTAGAGTCACTTCTTTTGAATATAATACATGGATAAGATATTGAAAAACTCGAAATTTTAGGTTTTCGAGCTGAAGAATATAACAGTAACAGTGGGTGGGGTACCCAGGTAGAAAATTTGGACCATTCCCAGCCTTAATAACAACTAAAATAAAGAAATAAAAATTCCAAAATCATCAAGTGGCATCAGTTGAACACTAGACTGATCCATATAGCAAGTTTCATGCAGAAATATTTAAGGGTTTTGGAGTTGTACTCCGGAAACAAACTATTGTCCTTTTCAGCAAAGTCCATCTTTTTGTCATGAAACACAAATGCTTTTTGAAAATAAAAACAATCCATAACTATCAGAAGGCAACACATACAGACTGATACAGACAAATCGCTAAGGAGTATACTACAAAACATACTTTGGCATAACAGCACTTGATATTGAATTTAAGCAAAGCTGACATAAGACCAAGAATCTGGATTCTGGCAAACACATGGGAAGCCATTCTGTCATCAACCAGTGAGTGAGTGAATGAATTTAGTTTTACGCCACACTCAACAATATTCCAGCTGTATGGCGGTGCGGCGGTTTGTAAATAATCGAGTCGGGACCAGACAATCCAGTGATCAACAGCATGAGCATCAATCTGCGCAATTGAAAACCGATAACATGTGTCAACCAAGTCAGCGAGTCTGACCACCCGATCCAGTTAGTCGCCTCTTACGACAAGCATGGGTTGCTGAAGGTTCATTCTAACCCGGACCTTCACGGGTCGTCATCAACCAGTATTATTATGTACACTCACAAGGGAGTTCCTTGATACAACACTAATTTCCACAGGAAATCCAATAATGAAGGAAAAACTAAACATTTTCTTTTCATTTTATTCCAGAAGTGTGCATCCTGATCATCCACTAAACCATGGAGGCAGTGTCCATTTCTGACACAAAAACACTTCTGCACTTGTTTACATAATATCATCAACAATATATCCTGAGAACATCATGTATCACAGACAGAGAGATACCGTCTTAATTTCTCTGGAACATCGAGTCTGTCTATCATGGAGTCCAAAGACTTACGACTCACATATCTCTTTGCCTGTAACGTCCTGCGTATACATGTCCTACACAAGTTGCTCAAACTATGAGGATTCTGGGCCATTCTCATCAGCATCCTGAAGGCCTCCTCTTCCATTGCTAGAATATGCTTCTTCTGGAACATCTCTTGCATATATGAATATTTCATAGTATACCCACAGTCGTTAAGCAGTTTGATGTTGCCAAGGTCATTATTGACCAACAGTGAAAACACAATGTGGTTTGCATAGTGATCTGGGTAGTAGATGAGTCCGTCTGATTTGTCAATAGCACATCCTGCCTTGATAAGAAGGGAGATAATTTCCTTTCTGTTGTGGAGTAGAGCTTGATCTAGAGGAGTTATCAGCTCTTCATTCAAAGTATCAAGGTCACAACCTGCTGTGGAGAAAGAGGAATTTTCACTTTTAAATTCACACGACAATGAGAAATATAGTAGTCAGTACAAAGCTAAGAATAACTGACAGAATAGGTGCATGTTTTACAACAGAGTTAGTGATAACCGATTTCCTTAACTGTCACCTGTACATATCAAGTCTGGATCAGGAAAACCAATGACTGAATGAGTCAGTATAGTTTTATGCTGTTTCTAAGCAATATTCTAGCAATATCACTGAAGGGAACACCAGGAATGGGCTTCACACATTGTACCCATGTGGGGAATCGAACCCTAGTCTTTGGTGTGACAAGAGAATGCTTAAACCACTAGGCTACCCCACTGCCCCCTGAATAGCTGAAGTGTCAACAATCATTCACTCCTAAAAAAAAAATGTGGTTCCGATTACCCGGCCGACCCTTGAATTCTGGTGCCGACCCTAAGTTTGTAAGCGGTATAAATGAAATAAGCTTTTAGATACCATTGTTTTTTACTGGCACCTACAGACATCGGACATTCTGATAGAGAAAGTCGACATATGGCTGAAACCTTGATTGAATAAACAATTATACACTGACAAATGTGTTATTAGTTTGTACTTTACTTCTAAAAATTAAATGTTAAAAATATATAAAAAATCCTACCTGCCTACCCTAAATTTTAAAGAGGTGTTATCGGAACCACAACATTTATTTTACTTGGCCTCACAAATCAATGCATGATGACAATCAGAGTCTGGTATAAATGGCCAATACAGGTAATGGAGGCATATCGTATCCTGGAATCCCTTCCGCTTCAATATTTCGGAAGAGGCTTCAATATTTGGTTTTTACGCTTTTAAGAGGCTTGATGATTGTGGATTGCATGTCATCATACCTTGACAGCACTGAAAGTTACTCATAATATCACTCACTGGTTTGTCTGGTTCAGATTGGATTCCTTACAAGCTGCCGAAATACAGTTATAAACAAACAAGCAAAACTAATAATATTAGATTGGTCTTTAAGTAAATAAACTTAATATTTCATAGAAAAAATGGACTTAAAATGATTCAGTATTTGTTCCCATTTGGTACAATCACACACAATATTGACTGGAGTATCATTATTTCCGAAATTCAGGTGAGGTGAAATGGGGTTTAACGTCGAACTTAAGAATATTTCGCTCATATGACTACGTGCATGCATGTGTATGTGTGGCTGCTTGTACTAGCCCAGACTGAAGCTGGTTTTATTGTGCTAGCCCACTGAGATACCATGCCGCAGTGAAGCATGAATAACCCACCCAGACACATTATACGGACTCTGAGCCGACCAGTCTTTGTTGAACCCATTAATGCTGAGCGTCAGGCAGGGACCAACTAGTGGTATATTTTAATGTCTTTTTCTATGACAAGGCTGGGGATGGAACCCACGACCTTCTGCTCTCCGGGCTGACGCGCTAACCACTACACCATGGAGGTGGTTCTCAAAAATCAGGGATGGAAATTAACTAAAAAAACAAAAAACAAGACCAAACAGCTGATGGAATGCTTTTCTAACCCTACAAAAGCAGGTTCTATATTTTTAGGATAATTGGGAGAAAAGATATGTTTGTCAGTTTTAAGACATAAATCAAGGAGACAGGACAACGATATTTGAAACAGGTCATTCATAAGCCTTAAATTTCGTTCCAGATATCATTGAAATACTGTTTACATACTATATACTTTAAACATTTAAGTGAAATCCAGCAGCTTGGGTGGTTGTGAGCAAACCAAAGAGCATAATCAGAGTAACTTCTACCATCCATTGTTTACATTAAACAGACTGATGTCGGCTTGGGGCGTGAAGCAAAGGGGCACAACTCTGTGCCTTGGTGTGTGGTGTGGAAGTGCTGACCTTCAACGAGGAGTTGGACCATGTCCACCTGGTTGTTGTTCACGGAGTGGAAGAGTGGCGTACACTCCCCACAGTCCTTGTAGTCGATCTCAGCGCCGTGCTGCAACAACTTTCTGGCAACATCTATAACATACAAGATTCACAGGAATGTAGGGCAATACACAGGCCATGACTGACAGGAACACAGGATAACATGGACGATCCCTATTTAACAAACTGCCAGTAATGAGAAGGAAAGTTTTGGTTCATTTCAGTCAGCAGCTATCCTGTAAACAGTTAATGTTGTTATATGCCACAAACAGTTACACCCCAGGTGTATGAAAGTAGCCAATATAGATGGTCCATATTCAAGTCTCAACCAGGCAAACCAGAAACAAACATGAGCTGAATGATCCACACAATCATGATGACATGCAGTAATATCATACACCCTGACCACTGATCCAATCTGGTGTGCTGAGGAACTAATACAATGTACACCAACTATTACATGACTGCCTGTAAACAGTTGTCCTAAAGCTTTACAAACAATTTTTCTTGGTACAATGGTACACAATGAACCTGGTTATTCATACCGAATGAATTTATTAAATCTGCATCCGGTTTTCGATGAGTGAGTGAGTATGGTTTTACACCGCTTTTAGCAATATTCCATCAATTTCATGGCTGGGGACACCAGATATGGGCTTCAAACATTGTACCCATGTGGGAATCGAACCCGGGTCTTCAGTGTGACGAGCGAACGCTTTAACCGCTAGGCTACCCCACCACCCCCAGTTTTCGATGAGGGAATAAACCACAAAGTCTGTCGGTCCGGTGAGATGTACTACAGGCGGGACATCAGTACTCACCGAGTCTGCCACTGCCACAAGCCAAGTGTAGTGGGGTTTTCCAGTACATGTTGGTGGCCATGACGAAGTTGGTATTAGACAACAGCACGTCTACCATTTCTTCACTGTCCTGTTGAATGTCACAAAGTAAATATTACTGAATATATCATCATAATCATAATACTCATCAGAGTCGGACAATTATAATATTTTAAACATGCAAATAATAGAACTCTTTTGTTAACAAAAAGGTACATTGTCATCAGCAAAGCGTTGTTGCTGTATCATAAAACACAGTGTTCCATGTCGGTTATAATTCCTGAATGTGTTACTTTTTAGTGAGTGAGTTTAGTTTTACGCCACACGAGTGTGTTACTTCTTAAAATATATACAAAATATTTAAAATGTTCATAGGTCTTGGTACATTTCAATAATATTCTGAAAACACTTTTTTGTTCTATAAATACACAAGATGTGGGTTTCTGCCCTTTAATTCTATGCAACATGCGAAAGGTCTTCAAAATCAGGAGCTTTTTTCTAATATATCTGGTAACTAGGGCTCTGATACTAACAGGATCTTTCCATCCAAACAAGCCCTCCTACTCACCCCCATGGGCAATTATACTCACCACTAGAATCCTTCCTTCTCACCCCCAGAAAGACACCTACTCACCCCTAGTACAGCTATGTGTAGTGGACTCTCTGTGTCCTCAGTGGCGGTGGCTATCTCAGTAGGGAGACCTGCCTCTATACAAGCCTTCACTTGCTCTACTCTACCTGGGTGGGAAACAGATTATTACACAAGTGTTCTTTTTTCACAGTAAATTGGTATAATTTAACAAATACATATATCATATAAAAAACATATATCAGGATTCATTAAACATGCAAATGATCTCATCCAGCACTGTCACGAAGTCACACACATCAATGTGACGGCTAGCTGCTGGAACTATTTTTGCTGGAATCCAAGCACTGTAACAATGGTATCCTAGCACTGTAACAATGGTATCCTAGCACTGTAACAATGGAATCCTAGCACTGTAACAATGGTAACATCAGGTAGTGAGTGAGTATAGTATTACATCACTTTACCAGTATTCCAGCAATATCATGACTAAGACACCTGAAATGGTCTTCACACATTGTATCATCCAAAACTGTGTTCCACAGGAGATATCGCTTGTTTGAGATCATATGATATCTCCTAGGAGATATCGTTTTGACAGTAGATTTTGTACAATGCCCTGACAATGCTATGACGTCATGAACTTGGTGACGTCACAATGTTATGACATCGCTGAACTGAAAGTCTAATGGTAGTACAATGTTGAGAGATGTGCATTTTTCATTGGAAACTACACAAAGAATGATTTTTGATGATAAATAGAATCTCACCCTCGTGTCTACTGATATCAATTATATCAATACTCGTTGATAAAGGTAAAAATATCTTTGGCAAGCCTCGGATATTTGTAACTTTATCAACTCGTGTTGATATAATTGATATCAGTAGACACTTGGGTGAAATTCTCTATGTATCCATGTTGGGAATCAAACCCGGGTCTTTGGCGTGATGAGGAAAAGCTTTAAACACTGGGCTTCCCTACTGACCATCAAGTAATGAAAATTGACTGCAATCATGAATGCATAATAAAATAACAGATTTAATAATTATACAAATAAAACCTACTAACTACATGTAGTTATACTTGCATTGCTTCTGAGTATTATTTGCTACTGTACAGAAATAGAAACATACCAGGTGCACTTTAATGAAAAGATAGATCACCCACCTTCAGCAACATAAGTATAAAATGTTACTTTGTCAATGCAACATTTCTGCTGGCTTGTATCTTCTTCTGACATGGTTTAATTGTTAACTTCTCTCCCTTTCCTTCAGAATATAAAGTTGCAATATCGTAAATGCAGTGTAGACTTTTATCCCTCTCTTTGTCAAAGTGTCTGTTTGGTTCTCGTTGCCCTTAATCATGCATCAAATAAATTTAGAAATTGCTACATGAACAAATCAAATGTGAAACAATCAGTTTTACATATTTTCTTGATTGCTGTCTGTTCATGTAGTTGAAAACTATGTCCTCTTATTGTGTGTTTACAGGCCTGAAAAAATTGCTGGAACCAATCACATCAACTGTAAAACAGCTCACTAAATTATAAAAAAAACCAAATTTATCATAAACACAAGCAATCATCTGAGTATTTATAATGTCGGTGTGACGCAACACACCTCGTTATAGCGCGAGTAAACGTTGCCGTCTGAAAATGTTATATAACATGTATATAACGCTATCGAATGTTGTTGTTCAGTTCTGTTCATTCCACAGATATGGTTCTTGTTATGCTTGTTTCTGAATTGGCTAAAGCACCTATGTCGTTGACAAACTTACCGACAATAAAACCCTATCTACTAGAGATAAGTAAAATGTTCGTGAGTTTTACATTACCCAAGCAGTAACTGTCACTTCAAGCAACACAAAAAGCTCAACACTCGGAATATCTGATCATGTTACATATATGTCTATAAAACAAAGCTTTGTTTATTTAAATTTCAGCCCATATCAACATTTAGGCCTAAAAATATCGTTCAACCAGTGTCAAATGATCACTTTTTAATCAACTGATAACAGTCAACGTCATACGTATAATTTTTACATTATCTGAACATCCGTGTTGTTCCTCATGGGTTTTCCTTCAAGCTCTTAGCACAGCCAATAACTCATAGATGTCGCTTACGACACTATGGCCTGTTCGATGAGACAGACTAAATTAGAGGTAAAATATTATGCTGTTAATAATACTAACAGCATGTCAAATAAGTAAAATTTCGCTTAAACAAAAACGAAAATATCAGTGTAACATCCTTGCCCAAATGTATTATGGTGCTTAGAGCGGTAATAAAGACGAATGTTCAAATGTTCATTGTCATTTAGTTGCGCTTTATGTCTTTGGAAAGTTTTATCAAGCTTATCCAACGGAAAAAGCCCACAGTTAGTCGCTGTAAAGAGTTGACAAATCAACCAATCAGAGTGCTTATTTCAATGCAAGGTCAAGGACCATCTGCGGGAATTCCCCAATTTCTGGATATTTACGACATCACGAGTATCCAAAGTAAAGCAATCGTTTCAGAGAAGAAAAGACCGTCTTACCCCGGAGATTACAGTAAATTAAGTATGTAGAATTTATTGTCATAACTGTCACAGAGTCATGTACTTGATATGATTTGAATTGAAGGTATAAACGGAGTGAGAATATTTGTCAGCTATCGGATACACATCACTCGTTTCCTGTTTCTAAATGAAAGTAAAACTAAAATTGTATTATACATTTTGGTAGTCATTCTTCATTACCCCTTGTGTTGGAAAACAAAAAGATATGAACTTAAGTAGCTGAAACCATGTTGAATCTTAATTGATACCATTTTGTTGACACCTATAACTGTAAAATATTGTGCCAACCCACACACCCTGTGATGGCGTTATAAATAAAGAATTGAAACTATTTTGTCATGGATGCAAACAAACAACACGCAAACAAATAATCAAACAATAAACAACCATCTTTTAGCTTTCACCTGCCCCTTCTTGAAATGTATGGAACATGGTGTTGCAAAGATTTTGTCCATTTACACTTTAATCATCGTTAATAATTGAATATGTACAGCCTAACAGTCAGTAATCTATAAGCACATACTGCATCAGATTGTTTGTTTCTATGTGTTCACACTGAAGCTTTGTGTAAGGGACCTAAACTTTACATTGTGCATTAAAAGTCCAAAAGTCATGACTGTGATAACACTAAACAAAGACCGAAGGATCAGTAATGACAGGTAACCATAATAACAGTCTGGGATGCTCTACCTGCTGATCTCACGGAATATTGTATCCTATATTCATTCAAGCTGAAAGTGACGAAATATTTATATTGCTAGTACAGATGCGAGAAAACAGATGCTGTTTAGATCATTAAAACCATCTGATTTGAATTTCCCTGCTGTAACCCCCTCTTGAAGTTGGTGAGAGCTTACTGTGGTGAGGAATTGTAGTGAGTGAATTGATAAAATGGTCTGATTTTGATGAAGTTCAGATACAGTTGAAATACAGTAAGCAGTGGCATTTCCACATGCTAAAGCAAGTCATTCATCTACAGTTTTGAAAGATTGTTATTTCCACAAAACCAGGGTTGTGTAGAAGATGCTGTAGGACAAACAGACCAGCATGATGTCAAGCAACGGTGTGCAGGAGACGGGGATGAGAAGGAGCAGCACGGGGCTCAGTAACGGCCTCTCCCCTGACTTCGAAATCCTCTCCCATCCCCCTTCCTCTACGGGGTCCCAGCCTCCAGTCAGCCTCAGTCAGATTAACCCCCTGGGGATGTCACAGACTCCCAGCTCTCTGACTGACGTCACCCTAGAGCAAGCACTGATGAGAGTGCATGATCTGTCTCGGGAAAATAGCGACTTAAGAGGTATGGTATTTTGGTTTTGACAATTAGTGGGAATTACTAGAGATCTGGAATGAATACATGCCAAGGTTATAAAGTCCACAGTTTTTTTTCAACATTGATAGACATAATAATGAAGTTCCCCATGGTTGAAGGAGATACTACAAAACCGTCTGTCTTAAACTTCTTGTGACAATGTTTATTATATGAAGCCTGTAATTAATATGTTTTCAATCAAATATGCATGAAAAACAATGGGAAATGGTGATATGAATGTGCTCTATGTAGAGTATGATTCACAAACTCACTCTGGGAATAAAACAAGGACTAATTGTCTCAGAGTCTGTATACTGTGTCGAAGTGGAGTATCGATATTATAAACCTGTTGAATTGTATCTCATTTGGCTAGCAATACAGAATCAATCAGATACTAGTACCAGTCCGATATGAACATGCAGCCACACATTTTGGCACTACATTATGTTAGAGCAGAAACTCCTCTGCAATAATCTAATTTACATCTTGGCAACTTTAAAGCAATCCTGATTTCAAAACACTAATTGCTGAACATTCTGAATAAAAGACACTGATTAGAACTCTTTAAGAGATTGTGCTCAGGGTGTTTGACTCTTTGTTTTTAAGTCTACATGCATTAAAGGCATAGTTTCCTTGGAAGTAATATTATAGTGGTAAATAGGACTTGGGTTGAAAACATGTGTTTCCTGAACCAGATGCTTTGTCATTAAACTGGAAGTGGTTTCAATTGTGGTAGCCTGAACCAGATGCTTATTCAGTGTGATTCATATAAACTGGAAGAAATGGTTTCAATAGAGTGGAAAACATTTATGTTCCCTAGTGTGCTAAGGGGATAGGAGAGGGCTTGAGCCAAGAAGATGCAGGACAGAAGTTCTATCAAATTACTTCAGTGTGATTCATATCACCAACCATAGGTGTTTTTTTTTTGGTGTAAAAAATAAATTTATTTAGTTACATATTTACTGTTATGTAAATTTTTCATCTTAGTAAGGGTTGCATTTAGAGATTATAGACTTATTTATATGTAGGTCAGGATGCTTATTAGAGAAAGTTGCATGCTGGGGTTAATGTGGTACATGCTAACAGTTCCCATCATTTATCATTATGTTTATGCTCATTTTATATAGACTGTTACTTGGATGATATCACTTTCTAGGTAACTATATGGTTATATAGACTGTTACTTGGATTATATCACTTTTCTAGGTAACTATATGGTTATATAGACTGTTACTTGGATTATATCACTTTTCTAGGTAACTATATGGTTATATAGACTGTTACTTGGATTATATCACTTTTCTAGGTAACTATATGGTTATATAGACTGTTACTTGGATTATATCACTTTTCTAGGTAACTATATGGTTATATAGACTGTTACTTGGATTATATCACTTTTCTAGGTAACTATATGGTTATATAGACTGTTACTTGGATTATATCACTTTTCTAGGTAACTATATGGTTATATAGACTGTTACTTACTTGGATTATATATAGACTTTTCTAGGTAACTATATGGTTATATAGACTGTTACTTGGATTATATCACTTTTCTAGGTAACTATATGGTTATATAGACTGTTACTTGGATTATATCACTTTTCTAGGTAACTATATGGTTATATAGACTGTTACTTGGATTATATCACTTTTCTAGGTAACTATATGGTTATATAGACTGTTACTTGGATTATATCACTTTTCTAGGTAACTATATGGTTATATAGACTGTTACTTGGATTATATCACTTTTCTAGGTAACTATATGGTTATATAGACTGTTACTTGGATTATATCACTTTTCTAGGTAACTATATGGTTATATAGACTGTTACTTGGATTATATCACTTTTCTAGGTAACTATATGGTTATATAGACTGTTACTTGAATTATATCACTTTTCTAGGTAACTATATGGTTATATAGACTGTTACTTGGATGATATCACTTTTCTAGGTAACTATATGGTTATATAGACTGTTACTTGGGATTATATCACTTTTCTAGGTAACTATATGGTTATATAGACTGTTACTTGGATTATATCACTTTTCTAGGTAACTATATGGTTATATAGACTGTTACTTGATTATATCACTTTTCTAGGTAACTATATGGTTATATAGACTGTTACTTGGATTATATCACTTTCTAGGTAATATGGTTATATAGACTGTTACTTGGATTATATCACTTTTCTAGGTAACTATATGGTTATATAGACTATACTTTGATTATATCACTTTTCTAGGTAACTATATGGTTATATATAGACTGTTACTTGGATTATATCACTTTCTAGGTAACTATATGGTTATATAGACTGTTACTTGGATTATATCACTTTTCTAGGTAACTATATGGTTATATAGACTGTTACTTGGATTATATCACTTTCTAGGTAACTATATGGTTATATAGACTGTTACTTGGATTATATCTAGGTAACCATGGTTATATATATGGATTTTTGGTTATATAGATATAGGGTAACTCTATGGTTATATAGATTGTTACTTGGATTATATCACTTCTTCTAGGGCCACTATCACTCATGGTTATATAGACTGTTACTTGGATTATATCACTTTCTAGGTAACTATATGGTTATATAGACTGTTACTTGGATTATATCACTTTTCTAGGTAACTATATGGTTATATAGACTGTTACTTGGATTATATCACTTTTCTAGGTAACTATATGGTTATATAGGACTGTTACTTGGATTATATCACTTTTCTAGGTAACTATATATGGTTATATAGACTGTTACTTGGATTATATCACTTTTCTAGGTAACTATATGGTTATATAGACTGTTACTTGGATTATATCACTTTTCTAGGTAACTATATGGTTATATAGACTGTTACTTGGATTATATCACTTTTCTAGGTAACTATATGGTTTATATAGACTGTTACTTGGATTATATCACTTTTCTAGGTAACTATATGGTTATATAGACTGTTACTTGGATTATATCACTTTCTTCTAGGCAACTATATGGTTATATAGGCTGTTACTTGGATTATATCACTTTCTAGGTAAACTAACTATATGGTTATATAGACTGTTGCTTGGATTATATCACTTTCTAGGTAACTCTTTGTTACACTTTTTTTCTAGGTTAACTATATGGTTATATAGACTGTTACTTGGATTATATCACTTTTCTAGGTAACTATATGGTTATATAGACTGTTACTTGGATTATATCACTTTTCTAGGTAACTATATGGTTATATAGACTGTTACTTGGATTATATCACTTTTCTAGGTAACTATATGGTTATATAGACTGTTACTTGGATTATATGATTTTCTAGGTAACTATATGGTTATATATATCACTTTCTAGGTAACTATAGACTTTACTTGGATTATATCACTTTTCTAGGTAACTATATGGTTATATAGACTGTTACTTGGATGATATTACTTTTCTAGGTAACTATATGGTTATATAGACTGTTACTTGGATTATATCACTTTTCTAGGTAACTATATGGTTATATAGAATGTTACTTGGATTATATCACTTTTCATGTTGTTTAGCTCCAGTTGCTTGATGTGTTTTCAGAAAGTTCAAACAAATGGTGTTATGTTTAATGAGTGACATATTTGACGTCAGATTATTTGAAAGACAACAATGAGATGATGAAGAAGCAGTATGAAGCGTTGGCAGAGTGGAAGAAGAAAGTCCACGACGCCAACGTAGCCAACCGTGACAAGTTTGACCAGACGAAGGCGCTGATCCTGGGACTGATCCTGGGACTACGGAAAGACAATGAAGAGTTGTTGGAGAAGGTCCGCGAGCTGGAGACGAGCAAGGAGGAGAAGATGGTACAGTAATATTCCTTGGAGAGATAGAAAGTGGTAGATGTTATTGACATGTCTGGACTACCTCCGTGGTGTAGTGGTTAGAGCGTCCACCCGGAAAGCAGAAGGTCACGGGTTCAATTCCCGGCCATGTCATACCAAAAGACATTAAAATATGGTACTTGTTGGTCCCTGTCTGGCGCTCGACATTAATGGGTACAACAAGGACTGGTTGGCTCGGAGTCAGTATATTGTGTCTGAGTGGGGTATTCATGCTTAACCGAGGCATGGCATGTCAGTGAGCTGGCACTATAAAACCAGTTTTAGTCTGGGCTAGTACAAGCAGTAACACATACACACGCATGCACGTCGTCATATGAGCGAAATAGTGCAAACCCCATTTCACCTCACCTCGCCTATTGACATACCCACATTGTATACTTCATAGAAACTGTATTTTCATGTAGCATTTGTTATTTGTTGCCACATGTTGCAGTATACCAGCTTTGTGACAGCATTCCGTGAATAATGAAGTCCGGAAAAGTCAGTCCTGTGACTGATATGAGCATTGATCTATAGACCATGTAACTGGGACATCTGCCTGTTTAAATGCTTAATTTTACACTGAATTTATTGTTATAATACCAATGAATTTAAGAAAATTTAAGTTAAATCCAATTTGAAGCCAAAATAATTTTCCCAAATCTGGCTTCCTTGGGAACTTTGGAATGCTAGTCACACTTCTGGTGTATTGGCATGTGTGCGGTTAAGGTTTGTTAATCATGTTTAGTCATTTAAACTACTGTAACCATTTGTCTTTCTGCTTAACTTTTGATTTTTTTATAAACATGATGATCATATAAGTTTGCGTTCCATGGAATTTAAAAAAGATTCTTTCAAATGATTGTTTTTTTTTACAGTGTTAATTTTTTTATTAGGAATGCATAAAACAATGAGGAAAATAAGTGTTCCTTGATCATTGTACTGATGTTTCATATTTTTGTACCAGACTGAGTTGCTGGGTAAGATCCACGCCCTGGAGTCTGCACGGCTGAAGAGTGAACAGCTGGCAACTCAAGTCTGTAGCAAGGCAGAGGAACAAGGCATGTCCATGGACGACCTTGACCTTACTCTTAATGAAACGGTAGGTCACAAGGTCATGTCATCAATTATTTTAACAGCAGTGCTGACATCAAGTTTTGTTAAGTGTCTGCTATGACATTTTTAACTGTTGACTACATGTAGGTGAGCTACAGTGTCATGACACTGTTTTCAGAAGTTATTTACTCAAAATGTTTTCTGTTTTCAAATTTATTATGGCTATCATAACGTGAACTTGAATGATGTCCCCTCTTTTGATGAAAAAATAACAGATTCTACTCTGCTCTTGTGGAATATGTCAGATTGTAATATTTTCCAACTTGATAAAAAACGTGTATGAATCGTTTGCATTCAAGTGGTCTATTTCCGTGTCAAGTATCTGACGTGTGCCAGTTGTCCTGTGAGTCCTGTAACGTATGGAAATCCTGACTGCACTATGAACATTGTTAATACTGATGTTTGCTATGTCCTTTTATCAAGGGACATCACTCCCAATGGTAAAATGAACAAATCTTAATTTGGTGTCATGGGCCTAAATAACGTAAAGCATCCCGTTTATGTCATAGCTGGTGCAATATTTTTGACATAAGTGTATCTTGAATCCAAAAGACTTCTCTAAATACAACAGCCACACACTGCATCAGATTACTTACAACAGAGGACAATATCACAAAATATACTTTCACACCCCTTGCTTCATTTAAAATCAATAACAGAATTATTTTATTGACAATATATTTTGAAACTCACTAATTTAGAAAATGACTCCAAACATTTACTGAGTCACCATGACTCCCATTCTATGTAAAACCCTGTTTCACAGATCACAGGACACAGAAAGAGGAAGTGATCTTATTGCTTGGTTTTACAGTATTGAATTATATGCAGTTTCAAAATAATATGTTGAAATATCTAGGAATATCAGGAAATGAGAACTTACAAAATACCTACATTTTGAGCCAATTCAAGATGTTTTCTCAATATGCCTCCTACGACACACATTTGAGAATCTTAGATAACTCTGTGTGAACAAGTGATCCAATGTGGCTGCAGGTTGTCGTCAGTGTCAGTGCTGAGACGGAGGAAAGAATCAGTCAGCTGGAGAATGAGCTAGAGGAGAAGAATGGAGAAATGAAAAGATTGACAGAAGAAAAAAATAAACTGAGTTCCCAGGTGGGTCAGTTCCGCGATAGCGCTGACCAGCTTCTGAAGGATCTGGAGTGCCAGCAGAAGCTGAAGGAGGATCTCCAGAGGGAAAACCAGGAACTCCTCGAGAAGAACCTTGACCTCAACCTTCAGTTGCAAAGTCTCCTGTCAGACACTCGCATTTCTTTACAGTTGGTTGAGAAAGCAGGGTTTAGTTCAAAATCACAAAGTGGTATGTCTGATGTAGTTGGTATGTCAGTGACAGAGACACAGGAGGTAGCACGCTTGTTGGAACAGCTTCAGAAGAATGAGCAAAAGTTTAAAACTGAAATGGCAACAATGAGGTCACATGTACAAGGAGAGAAAAATAAGGTAAATTTTTTATCTTATTTTTAACCCCAGTTTACCACGGGTAAACGGGTGAGCTTTATTCAAGTGAAGTTTTTGTTTTGATTGTATAATTCATCAACCATTACAAGACTCTGCAAATAATAAGTGCACGGTTTAAGTCCTTGGCTTCATTACGGATTTTGACAATTATAGCTGAAAAACATTTGACCCAAATTTGATGTTTACAGTATGTGAAAACAGCTCTAGGACTGCACATTTTCATGTCTGGGCTAAATTATAGATTTTGCCCATTCTAATTGAGTAATTTATGCTTCTAAATTAAACCCAGGACTTCAAACCAAAATAGAGTGAGTGAGTTCAGTTTAACGTCTCCTACAATATTAGAGGAATATCACAGTGGGGGACACCAGAAATTGTACATATTGTACCCATGGGGAATCAAACCTGGGTCTTCAGCATGACGAGCGAACGATGAAACCTTTAGGCTACCCCTCTGGCCCAAAAACAGACAATAACACGATACAAAGAATGAATAACTTTAATGAAACAATGCTAATATATAAAATGAGATAACAACACATAAACGAAGAATTGTTTTCTTTTTTCCTCTTCATTTTGTTTTCCAGTCAACCAGGTGTTAAATAACGAAATGACAGCTGTCAAAAAGTATAAACCAATATCCCAATTACACATGGCTGTCGTATTCATTTGAAATGTCATTCTGAGTAAGCATACTAATTCCGACATGAAGGACCAATGTGTCTTGTAAATAAATAAACCCTCAAATAACACTTATAGAGCATGTGTTAAAGAACACAGCTTTCGGAGATGACTACGTTTTTCAATTTAATCCAAGCCCATGGACTTCAAAACATTGTTGAGTGTGTATTATGAACTATGAATTATGGTTGTAACAAACTAAAATATGTTTTCCTTTGAGATAGTAAAAAACAAATCCGTTAAGATCCAGGTTAGAATTGATCTTCAGCAACCAATGCTTGTCATATGAAGCTCGTTGACATGGTTGACACATGTCATTGTATCCCAGTTGCGTAGATCAATGCTCATGCTGTTGATCACTGGATTGTCTGGTCCAGATTGGATTGTTTACAGACAGCCGCCATATAGCTGGAATGTTGCTGAGTGCAGCGTAAAAGCTGACTCACTTGTACAAAATATAGTTTCCTGTAGTTGGCTTCCTGTGGTAGACCTGTGGCATCCTGTGGTAGTTGTGAGATGGCGGTCAAGCTGAGTGACTTGGTTGGTAGCTGTTTAATGCCACACTCAGCAATATTCCTGCAGTCTGTAAATAATCGGGTCTGGACTAGACAATCCAGTGATCAAATGCATGTGCATCAATCTACGCAACTGGGATACGATGCCATGTGTCAACAAAGTCAGCGAGCCTGACCGACCGATCCCATTAGTCACCTTTTACTAAAAACATGGGTTGCTGAATATCAATTCTAATGGTCAGCCTGGGTGACTTGTGTGATTGTGTGTCTTCATATACCAGTGGCATGGATAGTTGTTCTTGATATTGATCACTGGTTTGTGTTGTCCAGACTGAACTATTTATAGGGGCGGTGGGGTAGCACAGTAGTTAAAGCATTGGTTCCTAACACCAAATACCCAGGTTCGATTCCCCAAGTGGGTACAATATGTGAAGCCCATTTCTGGTGTCCCCCTCCTGGATATTGCTGGAATATTGCTAAAAGCAGCATAAAATCATACTCACTCGCTCACTTACAGAACTATTTATAACTATTCACTATAGCTGCAGGTTTGCTCATTTCAGCTATTTTCAGTCAACTGATTGTCTGACTGGACTTTTTTATTGTTTATATGTGGAATATTTCTCAAAGTTTGATTTACTTACTTGCTTGAAATGTAAATGCCAGTTCTTTGTCCAAACAACATAACTAGAGTGTCTTAAAGTCTTCCACACTTTCAAGGGCGGTGGGGTAGGCCAGTGGTTAAAGTGTTTGCTTGTCATGCCGAAGCACGAGGTTAGATTCCCAACATGTGTGAAGACCATTTCTGGTGTCCCCCGCCGTGATGTTGCTGGAATATTGCTAAAAGCAGCGTAAAACTAAACTCACTCACTCACCCACTTTGGCACTTTCTGTGATTGACCAAAAAAGACTTAAGGATGCTCTAAGTTTTGGATGGGTCTGTAACAATGGTTATGTGAACTGCATCCTGTCTTTGTGCAGAGTCAGCAACTCCAAGCCCGACTAACCGAGAATAGTCAGAGGATATCGGCCATGATACAACAACATGAACAGGAAGTGGCTGTGTTGAGGAAGGAGCATGAGCAGAAGCTGATGGAGTTGGCACGGCAACAGGACACAGAGAGGGAGCAGCAGGTATGTTGTCAGTCCGCCACCTTGAAGTCTCTCAGTTCAAAATAAGGGTAACACTATTCATCGTGAATCTTGAATCTTGCTATTTGTCAATGCTGTAAGATTCAAGACAATACTGACACAACATTGTGAAATACTGAGACACACAGTACAAGACTTGGACAAATTGGACAATACTGGCGCACTATACAATATATGGACTCACTGTCAAATACTGGGAAATATTGTACAATACTGGAGACACACTGTACAATACTCAGACTTATAACCCTAATCCAGTCACCCCATGACAGTATGCAATAGATATGGCCTTTTGCAACCCATGCTGATTGTACGAGGGGCGGTGCGTTAGCCTTGTGGTTAAAGCGTTCGCTCCTCTCGCCGAAGATCCGGGTTTCGATTGCCCACATGGGTACAATGTGTGAAGCCCATTTCTGGTGTCCCCAGCCGTGATATTGCTGGAATATTGCTAAAAGCGAGGTAAAACCAAACTCACTGATGATACGAGGGGAACTGTTGAAAGTGCTAGACCACTGACACGGACACTAATAATATCAAAAACTTTCTGTTCTTCTTATTTCTTTTATATTTATTTAGTCAAAATTATTCTTTGCTTGTCTGGACATTTTGTGTGTAACATAAAGAAGCAATAGTATTATTGCCACAAAGAAAGACTTCTAAAGCTTGTCAGAGTAGCAGTGCCAATCAGTTGAAATTTCATTTAAATTAATGTAAACAATATGGAATGAAATGTTACATATGATTAATGCAATTTATTTATTAAAAACATGAAACAAGAAATACAATGAGCCTGCTTTTAGAAAAAATGTTGACATGCTTGTTTGGCTTTGATGATAATGAATTTCCGTGGAGAAATAGAAATGAAAATTGCCTGCCTGTGTTAGGCTTTTCTGCAGTGAAGCAGAATTAAAAACAATATTATAACGAGTATGGATGAAATATGATAAAACTACAATATCAGCATGCCATCTAGCGGTGCTGTTCTTCACTTCAGCTGCAGTCTGCCACATACGACACGGATGTCCAGTCTCTGCGATCTCAGGTGCTGACGCTCATCAGTGAGGTCCACGAGACGCAGACCAAGTTGTCCGCCGCCACAGATGCACATGAGAATAAGGACAGAAGGTGAATGAAGAGACCCAAGCAGACCCCTGTAAACCTTACCAGTCCCAGTCAGACCCTGGCGGTCTTAGATCTTTTCAGTCCCAAACAGAACTTAGCAGAGTCTTTAAATCCCGTCCAAGGCCAACCTGTTCAATCTCAAATATACACAAGCAGACCTTTACAGACCTTTTCAGTCCCAAGCAGATCCTTATAGACCTTTTCAGTCACAAACATACCCTAGCAGACTTTTTCATTCTGAAATCAAAGTAGACCTTTGCAATCAGTAACAAACCCGAGCAGACCTTTGCAGTCCCTAACAGACCCTAGTAGACCTGCAGTCCCTAACACACCCGAGCAGACCTTTCCAATCTCCAAAAGACCTTAGTAGACCTCTGAGTCCAAGAAATATGGCTGAAATGAAGCTACTGCAACGTTGAATTTTATCTCAGTCACTCACTCACTCAGTCCCAAACAGACCCAAGCAGACCTTCTCAGACCCAAAGACCACTGTACGTGTCCTGCTGTTACCGTTGTGATTGTTCTGCTTCAGAATGAAGGACCTGGAGGAGAGGAACAAGCGGTACCAGATGGACCTGAACCAGAACCGGCACGAGATGCAGGCCCTGATCCATTCACTCCAACAGCGCTGTGGTCTGTCCGAGCACGCCCACGCACAGGAGCGGCAGAGCCATGAAGTCACAAAGTATGTGCATTACCAAGACCTGTTATGTCCGCATCAGACTTTCGACAGGATAAATTTCAAATATTTTGCTATGTCGTGCATGTATGTGTTTACCGTATCTTACCATAGATATGCTGAATTCTGAGGACATAATAAAACAGTCTGAAGAAAGGGGGTCGTCTTATCTACAGGTTACACTTTCGTCAAACTCTGATAATGTCGATAGCAGGACATACCAATGAATAAACTCTTGTTATTTTTTCTATTCAGACACAATATGAGTGAACTGCGGACATCGTTTGAGCAGCTGGTCAATGACTACAAGGAACTCCTGGACACGTTTGACCAGTACAAGCTGCAGCAGGTGGGTGGACATTCATGGGAGACAACTCTGCAATGACAGTTGTGGTCTGGGGAGTGTTTGAGGGTTTATTCAAAGTGTCATACTTTTTCACTGGAAATTGTGAAAGCTGATAGCATGCATGTATGATATGAAATACTCTTCTCTCCAATATGACATGGCAAAGATAAGTCTATTTTTTTGCCTTTTATCCGAATGTTATACATTTAGATATCATGGTATAATATAAGGTTACATTCAACTTACATGATCTTTTACAATTATGGTGAGTTGAGTTGAATGAGAAAGAGTTATTTACATGGCTACATACAGAGCAGTCCAATGTGTAATTGTACCTCATGTTTTGGGTAAAGATGTGTTTTAATCTGTATGAAACCTTACTGCTCTCCCTTGATTAAAGATGAAGTAGTTGGCTGTGGTAGTTACTCATTGACCTTTGTCTTCACTCTTCCAATATCCCATCTACTTCCTCTTTCTCTCCCCTCTCTTATCTCACCCCATTTTCCTTCATCAAGTGTTTTCACCCATCAACCTTCTCTCATCTCTCTCTTTTACCCTCTCCCATCTTCCTCTCTTCTCTTTGTATGTTCCTTCTCTTCTCCAATCTTCCTCTTTTCTGTGCTTTGTATGTTTTGTCTTCTCCATTCTTCCTCTTCTTATCTTCCTCTGTTCTATGCTCTGCATCTACTCTCTCAGTTCAAATCTTTGCTTTCTCTGTCTCTTCTGCCCTGTCCTATCTTTTTCTTATCTTCTCTCTATCTCTTCTCCCGTCTCCCTCTCTTCTCTGCTCTGTATTCCTTCTCTCTTCTCCAGTATTCCTCTACTATCTCTTCTCCCCTCTCCAGACTTCCACTTATCTCATCTTCTCCTCATCTCACCTTTTCCCTTCACCACAAAATCTCCCCCTAATCCTTGTAAACTACAAGTGACCCAACATCAATGCCTCCATTCCCTTTCAGGAGCGGCAGACACCGGGCTCCATTCCCCAAAACCAGCGTGCCATGTTGGAGCAGATCAACCACCTAACAGCTCAGGTGATGGCGGCAGAGGAGGCCATCACTATCCGTGATGAGCAGATCCAGTCGCTGAAGACCGACCTCGCAAGCAAGAAGCGAGAGTACGAGGATATGGCCGCTGTGTTCAAAGCTCAGGTAGGATGATCTGTTCATGCCCGCTGCTCAACCGGCGAGATATTTCACTTCTGACAAAAACATAATCATAACATTTATAGTGAGTGAGTGAGTTTGGTTTTACACTTTTTTTTAGCAATGTTCCAGCAATATCACGGCAGGGGACACCAGAAATGGGCTTCACACATTGTACCCATTTGGGGAATCGAACCTGAGTCTTCAGTTTAATGAGCAACGCCTTAACCACCAGGCTACCCACCGTTCATTTCTTCGGAACCATTTTGCAGCTACGTCCACCTCTTGACCACCTCTTTCTTGTGGTCCTATAAAACTGAAACTTTGATTCGTCCGTAAAAATATCATTTGAAAAGTCTGTACCCTCCTTTTCTCTGCACCACTCGAGCCTTTTCTCCACATGTGCTGTTGTCATCAATGGAACTTTCTTCGGCACTCACTTGACATATCCAGATTGCTTTAAAGATCTTCTGATTGTCCATTCTGATACCTTAGGGGTTCCTTGACTTGACGCCTTCACGGCAAGCTGTTTTGCAGACCAGTTTGGATACGCCGCCACGAGATGCGCGATACGTCGTCTGTCGTTTGCCCCAAGAGTAGCATGACATCCCGATCCAGCCTGTTGCTCCGTCCCTAACCCTGCGTCAAATTTCGTCAAATTTCGGTAAACAGAGGCCCGATGCAGTCCCGTCAGTTTCACAAGTCTAGTTACGGATCTAATACCTGCTTCATAATATGACAAGAGTCGATTTCTGTTGTTTTGTAACGTCATGGCAAAGCTTCGTTTCTATCTGCTAGCAACGAGGTCACGTGATCAAGCCATCCCTGAACCCAAGGGAGATAATTCCATACCAACGAGGCAAGCTACTGGTGGCTAGAAACAATGTATTTCGTTTTTTTTTATAGTAGCATCGAGTCTACAGAATAAAGGTTTTTGTTGCATTTATTCTGCTCGTTACTATATAACTAATATACTGGTGCTCTCAGACTCTTGCTGAACATATTTGTAGAAAGGAGTATTAACGAGCTACGGTTATTACGAACTAAAATTAGTGGTCACTTTAAGTTGGTTATAACCGTAATATACTCAGGGATTTACCTCGAGTCCTGTAGTTCAGGGTCCCTGGGACTCATATTCCCAAGAGTCAATTTCTGTTGTTTTGTAACGTCATGGCAAAGCTTCGGTTTCTACTGCTAGCAACGAGGTCACGTGATCAAGCCATCCCTGAACCCAAGGGAGATAATTCCATACCAACGAGGCAAGCTACTGGCGGCTAGAAACAATGTATTTCGGCTTTTTGATAGTATGATCGAGTCTACAGAATAAAGGTTTTTGTCGCATTTATTCTGCTCGTTACTATATAACTAATATACTGGTGCTCTCAGACTCTTGCTGAACATATTTGTAGAAAGGAGTATTAACGAGCTACGGTTATTACGAACTAAAATTAGTGGTCACTTTGAGTTTGTAATAGCCGTAATATACTGAGGGATTTACCTCGAGTCCTGTAATTCAGGGTCCCTGGGACTCATATTCTTAATATTCAGTTGTCCTGAACTTCAAAATGGGGGTCCCAGACACTTAAATATTATTATCAATACCATGTTGTAATATTGTTGTCATTCAGTTACTGTTATTGTATTGTGTATCATGATCATCACATTGTTACAGCAATTAAATTGCAAATGATACCATAACCCAGCTAGTAGCAAACTCAGTGATAACTTATTGTTACTTGATTTGAAGTTTTACAAAAAGTATTTGGACTTTTTCTACGTCCCTGTGGATCCATTGTCCATTTTTATGCGTATAGCATGCAGGAATTCGTGTCCTGTAAATCCCTGATACGTATTAGATTATGCTTCTCAAAAGGTCTAACATCAGCTGTTGACATGTATGATTGTGTTGGGGTAATTATGTTTTCATACTTGTTATAATTTCCATCATATTTAAAACATCTTTCAAAGGTTTTTTTTAACTAAACATTGGGTTTTGCTTGAACAAAAGTATTTTATCCTACAAGTGCACTCATTGGAGTGAGTGAGTGAGTTTAGTTTAACGCCACTTTTAACAATATTCTAGCAATAACCACTAGGCTACCCCACCACCCCCACTCATTGGAACAGAATCATGATACTTTCCATGGCATGGTCTCCTGGATTGTGTGCAACCAGCTATAGCGACATCACATCATGTGGAGTTTCTTATCATGCAATGTCTGCCTTAGGTTTCTAAATTCTTGCTACTTTTGAATGAAGACATCAGACCAACATATCCAGTTTTTGGGTAACAAACAGGTAAACAGACAGTTCCAAATGTAATCGCTGGAAACTTAGGGTTATGTTGTGGATATTTTGTACATCAAAATGTTTTTGAGCCATGGCAATTCCACCTAAAATTGAGTACCAAGAAAGGCATATATTTGTTGTTTTGGTCAGATCTTCATGCAGTGTGGTATCATATCACACTAAGAGATCTGATGGTTTGATCCTACTTGGTGTTTTATCCTGTATTGTATTCCCTTCCAGGCAGATGTTTACAAGGCTGACTTTGATGCTGAACGGTCAGCTCGGGAACAGCAGGTGTCGGACAAGGAGCGGATCCTGACGGAGATGGGTGACCTCCAGGTGCAGAACCAACAGCTCATCGATGACCTCGAGGCGTACTCCCGCCGTCAGATGAGTGAGATGCAGCGTCGGGTAGCACCGTCACCCCATTCATACCTCCAGTGTGTCAGCCCAGGGGGTCCCTATGGCCCCCTGCAGCCCACCTTTAACTACCAGGGAGGGATGCCAGACAACCAGCCATTACCTGACCTCAGCTACCCTGACACTGTCAACCTGAACCAGCAGCCGAACCAGGTAGGTGTCACTAGGGATGGTCCCTGGGGTGCTGACTGGGATGATTTACAGGCAATGTTAAACAAAAATTCAAATTATTTCTTAAAAAAACAGTGAAGATCCGGATTAGAATTGATCTTCAGTAACCAATGCTTGTCGTAAGAGGTGAATAACAGAATCGGGTGATCAGGCTTGTTGACTAGGTTGACACATGTCATCGTATTCCAATTGCTTAGATCAATGCTCATGCTGTTGATCACTGGATTGTCTGGTCCAGACTCAATTATTTACAGACCGCTGCCATATAGCTGGAATATTGCTGAGTGCAGCTTAAAAATAAACTCACTCACTTACTCTAAAAACATGTTGACCTTACCGAGTCAGGAGAGATAAAGATGTAACCTCTGTTATTCTTCAGGGCCCTCCTCAGATGGACCCAGGTCAAATCGAGGAGGAGGAAGCCCCCCTTGTGTGCCCCCAGTGCAATCTAACATGCCCCGACATGGACACCCTACAGATCCACGTGATAGAATGTCTGGACCAAGATGACCAACGGAGAGCCAATCGTCAGTAGCTTCTCTCAAGCTCCGAGCTGCCTGTGATTTTAGTTGTATATGTGTTGACAGTTTGAATGGATGAGGGTGATTTTACCCCGGCAATGTTTGATGATGATAGAGGTCTTTGGCTGCCGTGACTGATGAGGTTTGTAGTACTTTGTTATACCATAGTGCAGGTAATAAATATGCATCCCAGGTAATAAATATGCATCCCAGGTAATAAATATGCATCCCAGGTAATAAATATTCAAATCATAACTGACCAGTAGGAATCAAGTTATCACTAGGGAATGGTCATTTATTTGGTCAGCTAATGGAATTGGTCTTATGACTGTCCCTTCTCTCCCCACCATTTTGTGGGCCTCCCAAATTGATATAATCTGTTATATTTAAATCCTTTTTGGAAGATTTGTGTGCAATTCAAATTGGATAGGGTAATTTTGAATTAATTTCCATATTTTATGCAAATACCCAGCTTATCTTGAGCTGTGAGGACATCATCACTTTTTTATCAAGTCCCAATCTGTCATTTTCTCACCATACCAGGGAGAAATATGGTATATGCAACATAGTCAAACAGGCTTGTCAGATTTTAAGAGCTAAATGTTTTGGTAAATACTTGACAATTGATACTTGAGCATTGAATTGAAAACTGATAATGTGCTATGTTTTTCATAATCTTTTCATCTTAAATAGGTTGACATCATCTCTGACCTATAATTTCTTTAACCTTTCAAGAGATTAAAGCTTGGCAAGTCTTGTTACAATTTATAATATCAGGGTACCACTTCTTGGTTTCTTTCAAAGATTTCACTGCTTATCATGATATGGCACCATGAGGAGAATTAGGTGATATAAGTTGTAAATAGTTATTGTATGTGTAGTCTTCATGAAACTAGTATAGGTCGGTACAGTTAATACAGAAATTAATAGGTGATCCAAAGATTCAATATTCAGATGGTGTGGATTATATTTCAATAATTGTACAAATTACTTATTACACATTCTCCACTGAGGTAGACTTCCACAGTCTGTGAGTTGTCTTTGTAACACTTGAGTGGAGTAGTCTAGTGGTCAATGCGTTCTCTCTTCCTGACCTAAGGCTGGGTTCAAGTCCACACAGTTTTATTATACTTCTGTGAGCTTATTGATATATCCAGCACGAATTCATTAATTCATTGGGTGTCCAATTGGATTTGGTGGTCAGCAAAGTGTGCTTATCATAAGAGAAGACAAACTGGTTTGAGTAGTCTGACTCCGTCATGTCTTACAGATTGGGTCTTTGTTGCGTATACCACTTGCTGGATGATCATGTCAAGACGTGATGATGTACAGACTGATGATATGTAGAGAGAACATTGCTGAGTTTGGTGTTGACTAACGAGGAAACAGACAATCATCACACTTTCCCGCTTTGAATATTTAATTATCAATTTCGTAGTTAGATGAAACTACACATGATGGAACCTGCCTGATCTACTCGTCACAAGTCTGATTGTGAAGATGTTGGCTTGTTCTGTCCGATGTCACAGGTGGCATAGCTGTCGAAGTGGCTGCTTTTCACTGTGTAGAGTTGTGTAACTTGGGCACACCAGAAACCTGTGACTGAGGGTTCGAATCCTGGTTATCTCCAATCATGTCTGTAGGAGTGTCAGTACCATGCACAAGAGTTCCACCAACATGGTAAACATCTCAGACATTCATCACTCTGGGTTTCCTCCAACAATGGGTTGACACCCACCATGAGAAGTCATTCATTCTATTGAGTACAGGAGGCGGTGGGGTAGTCTAGTGGTAATAACGTTGACTCATCATACGCCTCACTGTTGAGTAGAAATAGGTTGTGATTCCCCACATGGGTACAATGTGTGAAGCTCATTTCTGGTGTCCCCAATGCCCACTGATATTGCTGGAATATTGCTAAAAGCGTAAATTGTGTAGAATAAACCAAACTCACTCCCTCCACTCAACTCTTTATACAATATGATTTGATTACTTTATACTTGATCTTGATCTCCTACTGATAAACAAACAGCGTTTTCCCCAGACAGTATGTGTCACATCATGTGTTTGGGATTGGGGGATGTTGGTCTGTCTTGGGTTTCTTGAGTCCAAAGCCAACTTTTGGGATTGGGGGGAGGGGGGTATGTTGGTCTGTCTCCTTTCCTACTCCTCCCAACATCCCCTCTCTCCGAGTGATTGTGTAAAAGACCAAATAGGAATTGCAGGAGGCAAACAAGCAGCTGACAAATGGCCAGCTGTTGTTCTGTAGATCCACAAGTTCAACAGTCAGATCATGATGGTTCTGCAGTTGGTTTAACCCAGCAGGTATGGCTGGAGCACGAATCGTATGCAGCGCAACTTAATGTACATGCTTACCTCCCCTTGTCATGCCAGGAGCTGCTGGTTACAGATTTATATCACATATTTGCCCTGTTTATGATCCTTAGACTGACTGCCTCATTTGTTGGTGGCTTTCAACACTCTGTGTATTGGTATTCAACCTGCTCACTCTCTCATGCAAGGACATCAGTAGCATGTGTATCATAACTGTAGTGACACATTATCATGTGCTTTTGTTTGTAATATAATTGGACGATGTATATAATATATTCCTAGATGTACATTTGTTGGGGTGTTAGTACATTGTGATATTCCACTGTGGTTTATTGAGTCTTAGGTATGTGTGGTTGTATAGCAAAAAAACCCTCATTATATAACAGTGCCCATGTGTATTTACAAAATGATTGACAATGATTAAAAACAGTTCAAGTTAAGAAAATGATGCACTAAGATTATCGTGTAGACATGGCCTGGCCCAGGGACCTGTTACAAGATGCAATCTTAGTACTAAGATGATTGATTGTAACTCCCATACTTTTACATAGATGATCACTGCGGGATACTTTTACATAGATGACCACTGCGGGATACTTTTACATAGATGACCACTGCGGGACCTTTTACAAGAATCTGTCATTGTGCTTTAGATACAGAGATCTGATTATGCGGAGGCTTAAGTAAGTATTAGGGGCCTGGGCCTAGATTTTTGAAGCTCTCTTAGCGCTAAGATAGTCGTAAGTTAATGTTAATGTATGGCACTTACGACTATCTTAGCATTAAGAGAGCTTCGAAAATCTAGGCCCTGGAGTGTTTGGTTCATTATGACAATTTGGTATGTTGAAACAAAATACCATGTACATGGTATTCTGGTCAGTGTCGATATATCAAAGGTAGGTATTTGAGTTAAGAAAACAGTGAAATCAGTACTACCTCTGTGGCAAACTTTTTCATTGAGATAAAGGTGGAACTCACATAGGGTGCTTATGTCACATCACGAAATGGATAAAAAGACGAACTGTACTAATCAAATTTGAGATTTCACACAAAAATATTGACATTGACGTCCTTGAGTCATAGATTACATGCTACCATGAGGATTGCAATGAAAATTAAGTAACATTAATGAAAATTAAGTAACATCAATGAAAATTAAGTGCCATATTTGATACCCTGTTGAGGAGGTCCTTTTGGGAAAGTGCGTTATAATGAGGTACCTCCTGATGAAAGGGACTGTACAGTGTAGTGTACAGTGAATGATTTTTTTTAAATGTACATTTTATATACATCTGTGATGCCTTAGATATGGGCTTTGATTTTGGGAGTTTACCAAGTTTAGAACTTTAATCATGTTAATTTGATTTAGGGGAACAGAAAAATTATATTTCCAAATTAATTTTGGAACTGGTCAGTTGTTTAAGTATGGAAAGATGGTGTCAGAGGGAATGAGTGGAGAGTCGCAAGGTAAAGGTCATGAACAATAAAAAAACACTTTATACTCACATGGTCTTGAAATAAATGTACATTTTGTAAAAACAGTAAGAGTATTTTGTGTTTGTCTTTTCAATGAGGTTCCTGAAAAAAAAAATGTTTTCCTATTAGGAGATGGTCATTATTCGTACATAAAAAAACTCAGAAAAAACATTGTCATGATCTGACACCCAAGTGATACAATATTTATAATACATTTTTTTTATTTTGACTATTTACCACAAACCACTGAGGAGGATAGTGTCTGTTATTTCTTTTTCTTTTCATTTCACCTAAATTTCATTGTCGCCTTTGTCATTTTGCGCAGGTTATTATATTTGCTTTGAATTTCATTTGGTTTCATGTCAGTTATTTTGACAGCCAACAAATTAGATCCAAAATGCATCAGGTAATGGTCGTTTTAGATGCATAAAGGCAGTGTTAAGGGAAACAACAGCAATATCCCTTCTATTAGAGTTAACTCCCCTTGCATCTGCTTCCAGCCCTCACACTGGGAGTTAAAGTGAATACTTATTTTCAATCACCACATGTTGTTGATACAATTTAGGATATGGAGTTCATTATTCAAATGAGAAAATATTGTTAATACATCCCATGATCTGTTATTGTAAATGTGTTCAGTGTAGGATTTGGAGTGGGTTGAAAAATGTTAGGGTTCTGAATTCTTTAGATTGGACTCCTCCCCGTTGTCACTAAAACTTGTCTGCACAGGATTCATGTATGTACAGGTGTTAATGTATTGAGGAAATATACACTGATCAGCAGAGTTGCACTTTTCAATCATGTACCTACTATACACGTGTTTGTAATGTGTCTGATAATGTATTTGCTGATTTTGTTTTATTTTATTTTATGATCATTTTACAGTTTCCATGATGATTTTAAATTGATTTTTGAAGCAATAAAATAATTGCTTGTAAAAGCGTTGGTTCAATAGTGTTTTAAGATGAGTGAGTGAGTGAGTATAGTTTTACACAGCACTCATCAATATTCCAGCTATATGGTGGCGGTCTGTAAATAATCGGGTCTGGACCAGACAATTCAGTGATCAACAGCAAGCGCATCGATCTACGCAATTGGGATACGATTACATGTGTTAACCAAGTCAGCGAGCCTGTCCACCCGATCCTGTTAGTCGCCTCTTACGACAAGCATGGGTTACTGAAGATCAATTCTAACCCGGATCTTCACGGGTGCGTGTGTTAGGACTCGTACTACTCTGGACTTATGCGCTTTTCTTAAAGTGCTAGCCCAATGAGATACAATGCTCCAGTTTAACATGTATGGCCCACTCAGACACATTATCCCGACGATGTCGATACTGACGAGCGCCAGGCGGGTAATGCAATAAGCTCCAGCATCGTCAGGTGTGAGACGGCGGAAGATTCCCCCCTCCCACACACCCAACTCTTCTATGTTCATCTGATGAGTGACGTCTTGACCAGGCATTGATCCAAGGATGCCGTTCAAGGGAAGGCTATGTTTGTTTCTTTGTGGGTTATGTGTTTGAGTTATTGTTATGATTAGCAGGTATACGAAAATATGTATCTGAAAGAAAGAGACTTTGGCATGAGAAGTAACATATTTACCATACATCTGGAGACATTAAGTGATACAACTGAAAACAGAGAAGTGTCCCATAATGGCGACATGAACACCAAGTGTCAAGGTCATATAAGCTGCATGTCTTGTGTCTCCATCATTAACCCCAATATAGCATGACATCTGACAATGAGGTAAGTGAATATATACTTAAAGAATTTAGTTAAACATTCCAGGGCCATACTTGTACAGACATGGTTTTGTAAGAAAATCAGTATTTTTTAAACTGAACAATTATCATCATAAAATCAACATGGATCCCAATCATTTTGTCCTTTTGTATGAGTCTAAGGATCATACGGGTCAGAAAAACCTATTTTATCATCGTGGTCACCATACGTGTTGAAAACCTATCATTGCAAAAATACAGGGGGAGCGTAATTAAGTTCTTTGTGTACAAACAAAAATTGGACGCGTGCAAATATTTTATTAGCTAAACAATTTGCGCTTGATGATGGATGATGTTGACGCAGACCCTTACAGGCCGTATGATCCGGAAACCTGCCTTATGAATGGGCTTTCGCATGTTTGTTTGGTGCCGCTTGTGGGTAAGGAGACGCTTACCTTCCAGCGAACAGCTGGTATCATAGCTCTCTGATAATGATTCATTAATACGTACTCATGATATAGCCGGATTCGAACAACGGCTCCTGCTTCTGAGGCATTTTTATATAAAGAATGCTGTCACTTATATTTAGTACTAGATGTATTGACTTTATTTTGTCTAAATAACACCTTTTATCGATAATATTCTAAACCTTAAAACCTACTGTTGTAGTGTAGATAACACTTATTGGTGAAAATGTTTCACGATACATCGAGGATTTAAATCAGATAATATGACCCCGTTCAGTATAGTGTCAGTAAGAAAATCTAAACTTCTGTGGTTTCAGAGGGAGAACAGTGAGTGAGTGAGTTTAGTTTTACGCCGCAATATTCCAGCAATATC